TCTGTGTTGTACCAAATACCTTCCACTTCTTAATAATAGACTTCACTGTGCTTCTAGGCATTGATAAAGCCTTTGACATTTTTTGTATACATCTCCTGACTTGCTGAAATGCTCCAAGAAAGCTCTTTTCATGCTGAGCTCATCAAAATGACCACAGCTGATCACATTTGAAAGTCAAATGGCTTTGTGTGCCATTGAGAAGGTGATTAGCTACACCTGATTGAGTTTACATTGTTAGGAGGGGGGTGAACTTTTTTCCAACTAGGTGAATCTGTTTTTTTTGTTTTGTTTTTGTTTTTTTATGACATGTTGGTGTTATATCTTTCACTTGGATGTTATAAGTTGCACTGAATAAAACAAAAACTGTATGTGTATATACATACACACATATACATATATGTGTGTGTGTATGTATATACTTATACGTAATATGTATATATTTATATATATATATATATATTAGCCATATACTGTACCATAAAATTATTTATAGTGATAGTGATAAATTTGTTAATTATAATATTTGAACTTTTTTATTATACTTCTATCATTAAATTGTAAGATTTCTTTAAAAAGACACAAATTCACTTAATTGTAATAAAAAATCAAAATGCTATAAATTCATTAAAAAAAACTATTTTATAGTTAAAATATTAGTATTTTTTTTTAATTAGTAGCTTTCAATCTATTCTAACTAATGGTAGTATGATTACAAGAAGTTTTTCCCCCTCTCTCCCTATTTATGGTTAGCCAGACAAATCATTTTATTTTGGTGATGCAATTTACAGCAACAAATATTTAATTCATTTATGACAAAAAAAATAAACAAAAAGTTTAGGTTTGCAAGACCTGTCACCTTCTCTCACAATTATTATGCAAATCTGTAAATTGTTACAATTAAAATATTAAAATTGCATTTTGAATATATACGTTTGCGATTCATATTTTCAAATTTAGAACAAATGAGGACATTCAACTTTTAATTATTATTTTGTCTCGTGGACTACATGTAAACATTGGTTTTGTGAAATAGCTTATTAAAGTAGTAAAAAAAAAAAAACACTTTTCATAATGCCTCCTATTTTGTTAAATTGTTTCGCAGATTCTGCAAGGTGTACTGTATGTAAACTTTGGAGCTCGAGTGAATATGTGAATATTCCAGTTCTTTTATTGACAACTGTGTGAGTGGATTTGTCTTTCACCTCTAAGTTGCGGCACTCTTGGGCTGAGTTTGTGGGCAGGCCGATCCAGCGGATCTCCTTCTTCTCTTTGGAGATGATGTTCATGGCCATCAACACGTTGAGTGCGTCATACACACGCCGACGGATGTTCTTCTGGTCGTACACCTGCTGCAAGTGCAAATACATAACCTCTGTTAATGTCACAAAGCACATGGAGACGAGCGATCTTCCTCCCCAAACCCCTGCGGTTGAGCTAAAGTTGCTTTTAATTAACCTTTTAGCATTCCACCAGGGTCGAGAGATTAAAACTCCAGTCCAGGAAACATCAGGTGGACTGTCAGAACTAATAGCGGAAAATATTCACATCAAGCGGCGCTCACTCCAGGTAGAAACAGTCCTTATGCAATGATCTAAGGCCAGCGTCCAAACCCCAAGTCTCATTATAAAAGAGATATTATCCGAGATCAACATTAAGAGTCTGTTCCAGCTTAGGGTTTTGGGACACAGCCAGATGAGAGCTGGACATTGTGCAGCACTACAGGAAGTGCTCAACGTTCTTCCTAAACCACAGACAGATAAATCACAGCTCATATTAACATGAGATGCTGCACGAGGAACCTGGAGAACTTTAACATCTTTTACCAGTTATATTCTGCTGTGTAAACAGACACAGAGTAAGTGATGGTCATTTAGGAAGGCATAAAGGTGACTATATGCTTATTTCATATCTGAAAGACCAGCCCGAGACAATGAAAGTCTTAGTATATCAATAGCAAATGATACTCTAAGAAAGCATTGGGTAAAATCTATTATGACTTTTAAAAGCTGGAGGTCGAGTTAAATGCGAGTCATGAACCTTAATTTTAGGGCTGGGTATTTAGACAAGTAGTTTTAATCCGTTATGGAGTTTGCGTCCTGTAGGTGGCACCAAAGCGATGGTGGCCACTCAAGATCTCTCATTATTTCAGCCACTGGACACCGCGATTGATGCACGTGATTTTTAATGTTATCTTGCCTTGGCTGTG